TAGATGATTAAGGAGTGATGAAACTGCCCCCATTTTGTCCAAGGATTTAGATAACAAGGCTGCAGAATTCAGAGACCTGCCTAGATGTGATGAAACTGCCCCCATTTTGTCCAAGGATCAGGCTTAAAAATTAAAGGGGGTAAAAGAGCAAAATCCTGTGGCACTTTAATAACTAACACATTTCAGTGTGAGCTTTCAGGTCTGAAAATCTGCTTCCACAGAGCAGTTTTAAAGAGTTTCACAGGGTGAAAAGGATAGCCAAAGATCAAAGCCAAGCAGCCAATCCAGAAATCTCTTACACTCCAAGATGACAAAGCACGGACTAGACAGAAGCATGGTGATAAACCATGTTGTTCTGTAGGGATTCCACCAGACTGAAGGCAAGGAATGATGCAGTGGACCACCCAAGAACAGAAACGTTCTGCTGGATGCTCAAGTCCTTCCTCTGTTCTGGTTTCCTTCTGTTGATAGGCCATCAAAAATGAGATAGCCCCGCAGGGCATGACAATTGGAGGCAAAAATACCAAAGAAACCCTGGTAGAGGTGCTTATTACAGGGTTGACCCAAAAGGGAAGAGTTCAATATGCATGGATGAGTTAGTATTCTCCTGAAAAAGATACACTCAATAGTTCGAGAATTCTGAATTAGTCCTGGAATCTGTATGTCCAGATACAGACAGTTGAGAAGGTGTAGAAATTATGCCCACTGCAGGAGAATTCAGATCTGGCTATGATGAGATGTAATTGAATGATATCACAATGCTGGTTCCTGCAATGCATGCTACTGCTCAGAGGCCACAATTAGTCCAGGCAACTTCTTTTGAACCTGCTTCACCGAATTCCCGATGGGAGTTTCACGTGTAATCCAAACGCAGCTCATCTTTGAAGCCTGTTTAAGATTAGGACACCTGACAGGTTACCATTTTCCACTGTAGTTGTTTCTTGAAGCCATTACATGTCCCAATGCTTCCAGTAATGTTTAGCTAGAACAGGGCAGAGGACCTTCCTAGTGGTTCTCCATGTGCTTTAGAGCTCCCGTATACCTCTTCTCCCTCAAAATGCCATTTTGTCAAATGAAAAAAACCTTCCATTTAGACAGATATTTGGTTACTCAGTTGTCTCAGATATGCAGCAATTATGGTCCTCCAGTATTACTCAAGTTTTCTGAATTCATGGTCTTTTCATGTTTCTATTATTAGCTTGTAAGAGAGGTTCTCAGTTGTTAATACATGCTTTTATCTGTTATCAGCTCTTGAATACATCAAAGCAAATGCAAGATTCAAATGGTTTATTTCCAAATACAAATATCAAATAGTGGAAGGCAAAACAGTGTTTCCAATTTTTCCTCATCTGGCCAAAATTGCAATTGACTCTGAAAATTCTCTATGAAACAAGCTGCTTTAGGATTAAAAAAACACTGTATAACATGGGCAAGAATCAATCTCTTGGCATCGATGCAATTTCTCCACTGAACAGAAAGATACACTGAAGCTCTCCGGAATAAACAAGCAAACAAGAACAGAAATACTGTTGCCAACTATTTTACTTTAATCTGAAGCTCACAGCAAACAAACAATACTAACATTTGTGAAAACGTCCTCTGTCGTCAGAATAAGTCACATACGCATCTTTAGGAAAATAAAAAGAATCTATTTTATTATAAGCTAACTATGATATTTCCATTGTCTTAAACCATTATTCACTTGGGGAAACAGGGCAGTCTTTGCATAAATACTCAACCACTCTATTAAAAATAGCATTTTCAGCTCTGAGTGGCCCATCACAAAAACTTCCTTTGTCTTTTCAGCTCAGCAGACATGAGAGATGAAAGGTGGAGGTTTTCACTAATACTGTCCACACAAGCTTGATAAATCCATTTTACCGCTTCCAAATTTTTTACAGCAGAATCTGAATTACTAAAAATAGCCATAGAGAAAAACAGCACAATAAAGCCACCGTTCTATTTCTCTGCAGGCAACTGTGATACACTTATACCTTTTAAACAAAGCAACCAGACAACACAGACTCAGGGAAGAAACCCATGCTGACTCCATTATTTTATTTCAGAGATTTCCAATAAAACTATCTTTTTTTAATAGCACAACGTTCCCTAAGCAAAATGCATAACATTACTACATCCTACCAAATAAAGTAAGTATAAAAGAAATAGGTAATAGTGGAACTCCATCTAGACACTAAAAGCATCTATTGTGAAGACTTCTCAAAAGATATGAGCAAACAGAAAGAATATCACTTGGCTATGAAAAAGCAGCAGCCACAGTCTAAGCATCCTAAACAGTAAACGGATTTATGTCTGCAAAAACACATACTGAAGGCCAGGTAAACAGCTTCAGAGGAGGTAGAGACCTGTTTTCCAGGCCTAGTTTTGCAGCTACCTATCTTTGTGCAATTACAGCACTCACTGATTTGTATGTGATATCAAACACAACATTTTAAGCGTCATTTCAACAAAACTAGACTGCACTACAGGATCA